ACACACACACACACACACACACACACACACACACACACACCAGGTAATCTCCGTCTCAATTTAATTAACCCGCACCACAGCGGCTCGGTGCAGAAACAAAGAAGCTGCTCTTGTAAACCAAGATCTCACAGAAAAATACTGATGTCATTAGGCTCAATGTGATGGTGTTTTATGTCTTTGTGTGAGCGAGTGTGTGTATGACACCAATGTCTGTGCCTTCATCTCGTCCCCAGCAAAGGACTGGGATTGTAGTCATTTGCTGATTGTGTACTGTACACCATTTAATAGAGGTGCATTAAGCTTTCATCCTGCTGCCTGCTTTTGTTTTGACTAACAAAAAAAGAAACAGATGGATTAAGAGCTTCAATTACCCCTACAAGGGAAAGCCGTCACAGTGTGTGTGTCTGTTTGTGTGTTTGTGTATCTGCGGGTGCGATACAATTCTCGCTGCACTGTACAAGGGGCAGAGAAGTGGTTGCCAGGGTAACAGCGGTTGGGGCTTGGAGAAAGCGGGAAGGAGGTGCAGGGAAGAGGGGAAGGAGGGAATGAGGGAGAGGGGTTTGAGGACAAATGGAAAAAGGAGGAATTTATTCATTTGATGCTAGTGCTGGTGCTATTCCAGAGTGGCTAACACTGAAACTGAGTTCGCTGTTTGTTAATATTGTGTAAAGCAGATAAAATACTCAATTTAGCACAACAATCTAATATTATTGTGTTTGTAATTGCCTCTGGATAATTTCATGCCAACATGGACAAAAATGCCTCAAAGTAAAATAAATAAGTGTTGCTGGAGTTTCTTCAAGCCTTTGAAGAATTCAGAAAAATTGATAATTGTGTGCAATGTGGAGCATAATATCTCTTTTACACTGAAATTAGAGTTTCGGGTTAGGGTATACGCAGGTTTTCTAAACATGGGTAAACCCACTTTAAAGGGCGATTACCTTCTTTCCTGTTGCCAGAAGAGGAGTTCAGCCTTTCTGTTTTCCCCCAGTGCACCATGTTCCACATCACAAACTCATCGACCACTCGCCTCACTGTCTTGCCAAATTAGCACATTCACCCAGGTGTTGTGTACACCAGTCTCACTCTTGTATAGAGGTTTTCTGCATTGCTCTCCCTGTTTAGCTCAGCTAGGGGTTATCCAGGGAGGAGCTGTCAGCACCTAGCCTAATTGTGTTTCCATTAGTTGCAATAGATGGTTTAATTATGACGAGAGTGTTGCTGAGTGATTCTTTTATGTTTCTAAAACTGGAATTGTGAAAGTACAGTTTAAGGAACCTGGTGGGAGAATGGGGCTGGTGTGATCTGCCACCTGCCAGCTTTGAGCAAGAGGTTTCACAGACTGCTGTCAGTGATGGATAGCTTCTCTCCTAACCCCAGAGGTTAGCTGGAAGAGAGATGGCCCCTGAGTGAAGACACTGGTAAAACAACGCAGTTTGCCTGAAGCAAGTAGCAGCTGTAAGTCAGCGAGGGACAATTTCAAAACGTATTCTTTCAAGACAAAATGGTGACAACCTGGACTGTAGTAATAGATATACTGATCCGTCCATTATCTCTACAGCTTTTCCTTTGAGGGTCGCGGCTGACATTGAGCGAGAGGTTGGGTACGCCCCGGACAGGTCACCAGTGTATCACAGGGCTAATAACCATCATTGATAAAGTTCAAACCTGTGAGGTGCTAACCACTGCACCACCATGTCCCCCAACAGTTCCACATATAATTAAAATGTACAGAACCATTTTAAGCTATTTTGAGTTGAGTTAATTTATCTGCATTTAGCTGTTGATAAAGTTTAGCCAAAATGTTGCCTGGGCCTCAAACATTATGTGTTGTGGAGAAATGTTCAACTTTAGTGATAAAATAAATTAGTCAAACTGTAAACAGTGTACAGAGATAGCCGCTGTCTACACATTAACAATAATTTATGTGCTCTAAGACTTATGTCCATCCTACATTGAGAGATAAGGCTCAAATACACCGCACTTTTAAAAACTGATTGTCATCAAGAGGCTGAGATGAGCTCTTTTGGACTTAGCCTCTCATACAAGGACACTTCAGCAGGGAAAATGTTGAAACAAATCCTGTAATCACCCGCACTTCACCACCCGACTCCAATCACGTGAAGAAGAGGTGTAAGATCACTTACCAGTCTGTAAAGCTCTGTGACGCTGATTTCATCTGGGTCCACCATGCTGAACTCTCGCCTGGGCACCAGGTCCAAGCCGAGTTGTCTTTAACACAAAGACACACACAGGACATACACAAGATCACACAAATCATACACATACTAGAATCATATTTAATTCATATCTTACTGGTGGTGCACAAAACAGACAAGGTCGACTGAATTGAGCATCAGCTACAAGTGCACACGTACACACACACACACACCAGTGTTGTCAGATCAGCAGTGTAAGTTGTCTAAATAAAGTTGACAGATCTTCCTCCTCTCTGAGGCACAGATGAAAGAGAAAATTCCCCTTTAGCCATCTACTCTTCCTGCTGTCCTCTTTTACCCACCTTTCTCCGACTGCTCCCTTGCACCTCTTCCTCTCTCCATCCTTTAACCCCCCTAGTTTCAGTTACAGTTACATCAGTTACTTCAAACTGCCTCTCACTTTCTTCCTATCCTCCTTCTTTTCCTCCCCTTATCCTCCTCTAGGCCAACTTCATCTCAGTGGACCAAAACAGAGTGTGTCCCCTTGACAGCAATAAAAGAGGCAGGCCTGGTCAACCACACAACTGCCCACGAAGAGGGGCTGCCCGGCCATCTCCTCAATAACGAGGAGGGGAAATCAAGGAGGGTGAAGGGTAAGGACGAAGAGAATGAGAGAACTTGTGAGTTTTTTTGTCCTTATTTCACTCATGGCATGAAGAGGAAAGAGAGAAGAAAGAAAAGAGAGTGCAGGGATGTCTGTGTGAGAGGGGGGGGATGAGATTTGACGGAGTGAAGAGAGTGCCTGCAGGGAGGGTAGGTGACAACAAAAGACAGAGGAGCAGGGAGAGAAGAGAAGAGCCCAGAGAGAGAAAGAGAGAGTCTAGGGAACGAGTGAAAGAAGAGTTAGAGAGCTGCAAGGAGCTAAGAATGAAGCTAAGAAGGGAGAATAAACAAGTTACTCTTTTATGTGAAAGCACAAGTGAAGAAGCTATTTCAAGTGTAAGTTAATTTAAACCAAACAATCTCATTGGCAGATAATATTGTGGTGAATTTGCAGGTTTAACAGTAGATCATAAACTACAGATCACATATGCTTGTATTATAAACAACCATATAAACATGTTTCTTCATCTTTCCAAGTAAAAGAAGCACCAGATTATAATTTCATATCCGTTGATGTGCAGAAGCCTAAATTATGTTTTAGATCATGAAAGGTGCCAGGAAAGGTGCAAAGGTGTTGTACGGCAATGTATACCTGCTTTAGTACACTTCAAAGATCACTATGAAAAAAGAGAAATAAAGTTTTGTTCACTCAACAGCTGCCTCAGTTGCCAGCCTCCTTCTTTTCTACATGTGCTCTGTAACTGAGTTCTTTCACACCACTTGGAAATCCAATTACGTATGTTCCCTTGTTCTTAACGTCAATAAACATAACATGAAAAGTCTAACCCTCGTCCTAATGATGTAAGTGGCCAGTGTGTGTGAATAAAGGTGTACAGGAGTTGTGTTTGACCATCCCCACAGCAGGGACTTCACTGAGGAGCTAAACTCGGTATTTGCAGTAAAAGCACTTTTAAGTTCTGCAGGGTTCTTGCTTCCCTGGGAAAGTTTATAATATATGCATGAAACATGAATTTTGTAGTGCCTTGCATTGAAAAGACAGTCTAGCCAGCGACCAACTTGCAAATCCCTAATGACTAATGATAACTATACGGGCATGAAATATTACGGGGTTTTAAAAAAAAACCGAAATCAATAAGGTTATTTGATGCACGACTATAAAACGTGACTCTGCTCTGCGCTTGAAGCCATATTGTGGACATTTGAAAAGAAGCGCCCACTTCCTGTCTGCTTGTCGTCTACTCACTCGTTGCCCCAGTCCAATCTCGCCGTGATGTGCTGCTTCACATCCCTCATGCGGTCGTGGGTGAGGTGGCCCACCAGCACCTGCCTCCTCAGGTCCAGGATTTCATTCATCACGTGCCAAAGCCGGTGGAACAAATCCCCCTCGTTCTTCTGTGAAGGGAGAAAAACGAAGAGGCGGAAAAAGTGAGAGACAGGCAAAGGCGATGAATGAATGGGAAATTGACAGACGAGAAGATAGAGGGGTAAGCAAATGATAATGTGAAAAAACACAGTTGTATCAAACCCCAGAAATGTACGTGAAAAAGTAGCAGAACCAACAGTAGAGGCTCGAGAACAAGAGGGTGACCAAGACAGAGAAGCAGAAATGGATTTGTGCAAATTAGCTTCAATGTCCTGCTGCTTCTTTGCCTCAAATTTATGCACTTTGATCCGGGAGTATTCATCAGCTTAATTTAATCAGCACCCCAGATAGCTTAATAGGCCACAAACACAACCAATCTCACCAATGAATGTGCACGAGAAAAGCTTTGACTGTTTGTAGCATTTAAATTACCCAGGGCCAAATAAATTCCCTTCATGAGAAATGCAAAAGAAGCAGCTTTGCTTTTGCAGAAGTGCTATTTGAATCAATGCATGTTTCCTACCACGTAGAGTTGTTTCCACATGGCACCCCAGTCTCGCAACGTTGATGTCATCTCTGTGATGACGGAGTCTTCAACAGGGGTGACGGTCTCAAATTGCCTGCAAAAAGGAAACGGATAAAACCTTTTTTCACAGCCTGCACACATAAATGACAAAAGAATAAGAAGCAGAACATTACTTACCCTTTATTCTTGACATGGGCATTTTTCAAGTGGATGTAGCTGCAAGGGAAGATCCCCTTTGGGCAGAAGGTAAACATGTTATTAAGAAGTGCTTCAAATGATCCCACCTTCCTGCAGCATTAGAGTTTAACTGGTTATGGGAAAATGCTGCACGTGATCAATAAAGTACACAGTGTGTTTGTGAAAAAGAGATAAAAGCACAGAGCAATGGGATTTAGGAGACACAAAAAAAGATGAAAGTGTGTGTGTGTGTGTGTTCCTTTAATAAACTGCCTCTTGCTCCCTACTGGCTTGCGGATCAAAGTAGAACTTATGTTTAAGTATCTCTGGATAAATGCAACAGACACACACTTGATGCTTTACTCCACAAGCGACTGTGAGTCATACTTCGAGCTCATGTCGCTCATCTTCCATTTATTTGTGCCGTGCAATGTTTTCTGCAATGAGACGTGCAGCTTAATTAGCAGAAGATATTACATTTAGTTTAACTGGTTGGTTTTTGAGCAGGAAAGGTTTTTTTATTGAAAACGTTTGAGTGTCAAATGGAGTTTGTTGTTTTTTTAGTTGTAAAAGAGTCACTTGACTTTTGGTATACTGCTCTGCAGCTATTTGTTATACTAATACTTTAATGAGCACATTAAATTGTCCACAATCAGATTGTGAGTTTGCCTTTCACATATGAAGAATGCAGCCGATTTGTCTGGGTCAGACGCGTTCACAACAACAGGAAAATGTCAGTGACATTCAGATGAAGGGGGGCGCCTGGGTCGAGCATGAAGGGGACAGGACGTGATGTAAACGTTTTTTTGTTTTCAACACTTTGACCCTTGTTCTGATACTTAAATTGCTGAGAGGAACAGTCTCAGACATTTGTCCCTCCTGAAGATTTCTCGACTTCAGTGCATGTTTGAAAACAGCTTATGAAAGACTTTTATTATAAATGGCAAACAGCAATCTGTTTGACAGAACCTGAAATGCAGAAGTGGTTTTGACAGCGAGGGACATCTTCTCATATTAATGTTCTTTCTTCTGTTCCTGTTAGAGGATTATTGTGTAATTTTTTAAATAAAAATCATGACAGAGGAAATTATATTTTATCAAGTGCGTTGAGGCCAATTTATGATTTGTGATAATGAGCTATAAAAATGGACTTTTTGGCCTATTGATGTAGTTGAATGGAGCTAAACTATCATTCATTTTATGATATGTTAATGTGCATTTTCTGCTGTGACATGTCAATGAAAAATGGCTGTTATTAGACAATTTTCCACTGAGGGCCCTGAATGCCCACGCACATGTTTTAACTCACTGTGGCTGATGAAGCCTCTGCTCATATTTAAGCTGTTCTGGGAATTACATGATGCCATCAACCTCCACAGAGGCCTAATAATGAGACGAAACCACGAATAGACCTTTTAAACTGTCTAACTGCAGGGAAAGCCCAGGTGTTATATGAACATTACCAACCAACAGGCGGGTGACTCAGGCACAGTCTATGCACGCCCTCGCAGCTTTAAATAAAAATTCTTATCACGCAAAACACGTTTGAGGATGGATCATGTGTGTGTGTGAGGTTTAGATCCAACTTAACTGATGAATGGATGGAAGCTTTAACCACATGCAGCCGATGATACACACATGCTGAGCGTTGTTACCAGACTAAAACGTGCGGCTGAAGCGACTGACAATCAAGTGTTATGATAGCAATAAAAGTATAGCTGATGAAATGTGTCATTTACAGTTGTCATCTGATCTGAGTTGATTCAATTTCCAGTTGTAGCAAATAATGATGGACCAGAGGAAGACTTTCAGTTTATACAGCATTCATTAAAAAGTAGAGTAAGAGTTGAATGGGTGTGTAAATGAGGGACAGGGAAACTAAAGACAAACAAAACACACAAAGAGTTGTTTAACACACCTTGATATTAGGATTCTTCAAGATGAATCCTCGGTACCAGCCTGCAGAGAGAAAAAGCACTGCTTTAATTTACAGTATGTCACAATAAATATTGCACCAGAGCCCGTCTGATATTGAATTTTGCAGATTTTAGGGACTCGAAATGTTTTGATACTGAACTTGTTTTTACATAAACTATAATATTTTCTGCATTGTTCAGAGAGAGAGGCATCATGTGTGTTTCGTCAGTATCAGAGCAGCACTCAAGAGCCCTGTGTTAAATAGCAACTTGTTTTTTAAAAAGCTTTGTATGTAGTGACCACAAGCAGATGCAAGGCAGAATAAAGAGCCACACAAAGCCACTGCACGCTCTGCAAACCTCACTGTGACTAGTCCTCTCGCAGGTGAGGAGATTTTTTTTTTGCACAGAGGACAATGTGTTAAAGCTGTGGCTTGCATACGCTCACACTATCCCACGCATCACACAGTCCAATCTGAGCTCAAGCCAAGTTATGCATGCTTGACGCTTCTGCAAATCACAACACTGAAACAAACTAATTTAATTACAATGGAGGCTTTGAGCTCGTGCTTTTTTCCTAAACATGTGGTATAAAGCTCATTCCACTGTTCCAGTCATTGAAAGTCCCACTCGCTAAATAGCTCAAATGTAAATGTCTTGGATGAGTCTAATAAACGTCTGTGAGTAGTGTTTTTCTGACTTGTTTCGAGACATGCACAGCTAGAATAGCATCTCGTAATGTGTCTGGGTCTGCGCTGTGGAACGTAAGCTCAGTATTTCCTAGATGAGTCAATTTTTCAGTAGCAGAGGTCAAATGCTGTTATAGCTCTCTGCGAGGTTTTAATGTGGGTCAAGGAGGGAACACATCTGCAGTAGATCAGCAGGTTGTAAAAACCGATCAATGTTTTTAAAGCAGATATTCTCAACCACGGGTACAGACATATCTGACGCACAGTACTTTCACTACACTTAAAAGATAATCTGCACTTTGTAAAGCGTTGGAAATCTCAGTTTTAGTCAAACTATGTTTACATGTGGACGAGAGGCTTGAACGCAGACGAACAAGTTCGTTTTGAAAAAATGAATGTAGACAGCGTGTCGATAGAACATGTGACCTACATGTTGATGTTTCAACTGTTTGAAAAAAATTACTTTTTGAAATATTTATGGGATATCCACCATGTTCTAAATACTGTTCTAAAGAACTGTACAACTTAAGACTCAGTGACAGGCCAGGTCAAAAAAATTGATTACTGAGCTGTGATTTCAGACAGAAGCTACATGTCAGTGAAGTCACATTCACTCTGAATGCTCCCGTGTTTTGACGTGTCAACAGCATCAACACGAGGTAAAGTCATTAGTCTGTCTCCTGTGTTGTCAGCAGCCCATCTCTCAGCGCCCTCACTGCTGCTGCTGCTAACAGGATTCACATTTTGTTCCTCCCTTCTAGGCCAAGCATTCCACTGGCTGTGCTATTGTCTACTTCCTCTTTTACCGCAATATCACATCCCTCAAGCTGGCAGGCTGCATGACTGACTGACTTACTGGCTGATGCTCTCAGTGTAAGCGTGGGCTTCTGCCTCTGAACAGGAAGTGAGACGGTGTGTGTTAAAAGCTCCGTAAGAGGGAGGTGTGTGTGTGTGTGTCCGTGTCAAAAGTCAAGGAGAAAACACTTATAAGAAATAAAAAACACAAATTTGAGCCTCTAATGCATTATGATCTCCATTCTTGGCAATTCTAAAAAAGTTATATCATTACATTCATTTCTTCTCAATATCTTTCCTTAGTGACCTTTACTCTCTGATAAAGAAGGAGAGAAAAAAAAACATTAGCATACATGGGGAGAGACAGACAGTGAAGGAGAGCGAGAACGCCTGTCGAGGAGAAAAACAGACACCGTGTGGGCAGGAAGGCGGGAAACGCAGCCAGCCCCATGGTGCAGGAAACAGTTACAAACATGAGTTTCCACAGGCATTCATCACAGGCACGGTGCTGCTCATTTTGTGTGCACACTCCACCACAACATGCCTCAGTAACATATGTGAGAAGTGTGTTGTCTCAGCGGAACCCCACCAGGTGAAGTTACAGTACTTGCACTCATAGTTGCATGCATAAGTCTGTGGATCAATGGATGTGTGTCATGAGTGTGAACATGTAACCACACCGTGCAGAGTGTGTGTGTCCATGCCAGTACCTTTTATGTGTGAAAGCTTTCACATGAAAAGTGTCAGTGCCATGTCTTCCCTTCCCTCCTCAATTAAAAGCAGTAACTTTTATTATTTGTACGATTCTATTATGTTTCACATTGTTTCCTCACATAAAGCAGCTAATTGCGGGGTAACATACACATACTAAGTGTGCACATGTGCAACGGACCTTCACATTTCTCCAGGATCTGCACTGTGTCTCCAATCTCCAGTGGGAGGCCATGCTGGACGGTCCCCCGGAAACTGGCCAGCACTGCAACGAGAAGAGGCACAAAAACACCCACATGAGTTGTTTATTTCTTGTAAATGTTAGAGCTCGGTTATGCAGCGTCAGAAAAAGGTCCTAAGCCAGAATAAGTCAAAGATACAAAACAAAACACTAGATGAAAAAATAACTTTGAGAGAGGAGGTGCAATCAATAATCTGTGTAGGTGAAGTACAATGAAAGCCGATAAAATATCTCTGTACTCCTGCAGAAACTCAGAACTGCAGTGAAACACAAATCAAAGTTGCATGAATACATTTTCTGACTAACACAGAATAAACGATGTTGATCTTCTATTCAAAGACTATTTTAAGTCAAAAACATGAACTTTCTGAAGAGTTGTGATGACAGTCACAGCAATTCAAATGTTTGCGTTTTGCTGAGACACAGCATCACTCCTTCAATCCTGAACACAAACGTGGGTTCAAAATGATTTTGAGTGATGCAGCGATGGAAGGAACAGCCTGCGTACGAGTCATCCTCAGCCAATCCAGGGAATCCATCCTGCCTTTGAAAGTTTAAGGAACTCATTTAATTAACTGTCCAAAAATATAGTCAGAAGCTGGAATGCTTCAAACTGGAATGTACAACCGAGTGACACATGTTTTCCATGTCCCTCCCCATGCACTGGTCACTGCTGTTCAATGTAAGGAAAGATTGATGTGATGCCACGTCAGATATGTAAAATCTTAAGAAAGCCAAAGATCAAACTTTCTGGACATAATAAATGAACTTTGGAGAAAATGTGACCACAACTCTTCATGTAGCACTGACACACACACAAGATGAGTTTACCAACATACTTAATCCTGCATGTACACAAACATGTCAATCGCGCACACACTCACACTGTATAAATGTCTACTCTACACAAGCTCTTACACAGGACTCACACAAGTGGCCTATTTAAACAGCAATGTATGCAAGCACACATGGACACACAGACACACACACACACACACACACACAGGAAAAAGACAGCTTTACTCGGATTTGGATTGGAAACATAAATATAACAAGAGTCCCTGTCATGCAGAACTGAGAGGGATCCTGTCACAGCTGGAGTGTGCAGAGAGTATTTCATCTCCTCTGCCTGCAGGGATTGTCCAGTGTACCTGAATGCACCGTCCAAACAGCAATGAAAAAATTACCCACTCGCTGGAGAGGGATTTTATTTAATCCAAAACAGTTTAAGGACAGTGAGATGCACCCAGAGACCATGAGTGCAGAGACTATGGACACTGAGGTTTCATGGACTGGAGAGCACAAAAAGATGCTGCATTTGATAACACGCCGTTTACTTCACTCTTGTAGCCGAATCATTTTCTCAATATTCTTCGTTTTGAACAAAACAATAATTTATAAAAATTTGTTGTAAGTTGCACTTAATGGCACCGTAAATCACAGGTTGACTGCCAGAGCACATTCAGCTGAATGAATTACCCATCCACCCACTCTCTCATGTTGACATTGAGAACGGGTCTGCTGATGAAATAAAACGGCAGCTCGAGCCCTCTGTGCTGTCTGTACCGCTATGCATATGTGTGTGTGTCAGTCTGCGTTCTTTCGCATTTTACGTTGAAGCTTCGCCAACTCCTTGTTATCCCTCAAGCTGCAGAAACTCTATCTTTACAAGGGATTTGTCACAAGTGCCACATCTGACTTTGTAATTCATTCAAAGCAACCGCTCACACACACGTACACACACACATAGCGAAACACAAAACTTGACCACTTTCTGTAATTCATTCAAAACCCAATCACTCACGCACACGCACACAGCAGCAATCACAGCAAACACACTTATACTCACTGTGTGCCCATTGCATGAATTATCCAAGTGACTTTCCCAGCTGCAGTGAACTAAATTATTCAGTTGCCTTTCTTTCTTTTTTTTCTGCTGTGAAATGAAAGCTTCCCGCCTGTCGATCCACAAGCCAGCTGCTGTCTGTTCGTCCGTCTCAAACTGCCTGTCATCCGTCTGGCTCGGACTGTCTTGTCTGTCAACACGCTCGGACTGGCCAACAGCCAGATGATGCACCGAGGAGACGCAAGAGGTGTTCACTCTTGAGGATATACATCTGGGGTTCTTTTTCCCCATTTGCCATGATTGCAGTGTGTAAAAATGGTGGAAAAGACGCCTGTGTTCCATCACACAGTTGACACAAAGTACAAAATCCTATAACAACTCCAAAGGTCACACAAACACGGCAAGTCTCAGTGGATGAAAGGCTCGTTGAAGCAAATATCACTGGTCTAAGTTCACAAAAATGTAACTCCATGCGACTCGACGCTGCAGATTTGCTTTGCATCAAGAAGCTGATGTGTTATGCACCACCTCCTGTTGTATTGTTTTGAATGCACAGGTATCAGACCAGTACTGAGTATCGGTCAATACGCAAAGAAAAAAAAATATCAAGCCTCAATTACAAAGTTTTAATAACGACGTCTGAGGAATAAGAATTTCTTCACTCAGAGATGGCCCGCAAAGATCCATGTTGATCGAGCTCTCGGTGCCACTGGTGCATGAATATCCTTTTGCAAAAACTGAACAATGCAGACGTGATAAAACTTGAATAAGACATGAACACACACACACACACACACACATCCCCTGTCTATTGAATGAGTTAGACCTAGTTTCCACATGACCAACATTTTACCCACTAAAAGGCAAAACTCATATTCTATTAAAGACACAAAAATCCACACAGTCTGAATCTATGCGACACCAGTCCACTGGGTCATGGCGAGGACGCTGCTATTCTTAACCAGACCATCATCCTTCAATTAGACTTTACACAAAAGGCGGTAGCCTGGAAGAGCAATGTACACACGGATAAACGGACAGAAGCACACTGACGAAGAGCGAGAGGGACTGGGTAAGAACAATTCACGCTGTCAATTTTCTCAAGAGAAAACAAGGGATGAGGGAATAGAGACTGACAGAAGCATCAACAGAGGAGAAGAGAGCAGTTACAGAAGCTAAAATAATACTCAAGAGGGTTTCTGGTGGAGCGGTAGTGGTTTGACACTGATGCTTTGTGTCACATATATATATATATATATATATATATATATATAGAACATATCCATCACTACACTTGAGAATGCCACTAAGAGATGATGATGCAGAGGTCACAGTTGATGTACTTGAAACAGTGAGGTTAAATCACCTGTTTGCAACTCCTCACTCCACTTTCACAGATTTTAGTCTTATTAGTCTTTCAACTTATTTATTCAAGTACAATACAAAACACTTAAATCGGAAAAACTAAAACTTGTACATTTTTGTTGTTCTATTTAATTAAAGTTTTGTTCCTTAATTAAAGTATCCTTCAAACTGCATATCAGCAACAATGAAATGGTTGAAAATCCAGTTGTGGGACGTATGTACTGTATTTCTATGACTCCTTTGACCAGAGCTGCTAGAAGGAGCAGGTCAGAGTCTGACTGTCTTTGGGTACCTTTAAGATCAGGTCTTACTTCATGTATATTGGTTTCAGGTAGGTTTTCAACTGTTTTGTCAAAAATGTTGGACACGTGAGCACCTCTGACACCGAGACTAACTAAAGCAGTTATTTAGAGTAAATATAATCCTAACCAGTAACCTTTGGCCTCACAATACCTAAAGATATGATCCCAATGAGTTTCAAACAGTGAAGTAAAGATTATAATAGTATAATAGAGTAATAGTTTGGCATCCTTCCTCCAAGTTTCATGGAATTCCTTCCTTTCCTTTCCCATGCAACCAACAAAGAATTGACTATTAAAAACAGTGATAGCATCATGAATGATAAAAACAATAATTTTTTGCAGCCTTAACCAAAATATATCTAACCAAACTGTGCTGAGTGCAAACAGTCTATTCATCAACTGAAAGCAACTGTGTCCACATGGGGATTTGAGGTCAGAGGTTGAATTTTGATCTCTTTGATGCACTCTCACCTCGCTCTAATTCATTAGTGCTCGATTCAGCGTTTGCTGGTTTGCAAGCGCATCCTGCCGAATAAGTGGAGATCCCTTGAAAGCCTACTGGCTTGGATTAGGCTTACATGTGTTTTAGGCAGCCACTTGGAGTCATGGCCTGTCAGCCTGCGTTACGTTTGGTTTGCTCGTCGCTCCGTCTAAGCTTCTTACGAGGGCAAACACTGCCACGAGCCGTGAGTAAAGAGAGCGCCAAGCCTCTTCCTTCAAGACCACCCTGCGCTCCTTCAAAGCAGAAACGGCTGAGTGAGGCAGGTACAGGCTGCGATCAAAGCTCATGCTGCTGCTGCTAGAATCAAATTTATCAAGAACTTTAATGTGACTTTTTTTTTTGTTGCATGAAACCACTGATTTCTATCTCAAAGCCCTAAAATAAAGAGCTTTTTGCACTAAATCAAATTCTGTTCAAAGCACTCAGTGTGCTTTCTAACCTCATTAGCCTGACCCTTTCTTCTCTCCAAATGATCTGACAATGATTCACGTGTATAATCCACTCCCACATGTTAATTATACAGCATTTATATCATTAATATGCTAATCTGACAACAAGGCAACTGGTGGCGCTCCACTGGCCTCCACTGCTGCCAAATGTAAGGATCATGAATATTTAATTCGTGTGTGGGAATATATGTGTGAGTGTTATAAAACGCGCACAGTCACACATGCAAATGCACATTTCTGAGGACGTTTAGATTCAGGGGAAAAAAGATGGATGGGTTGATACTGAAGAAAAGTGATGAACGGAGGAGAAGTAAAATCTGCTTCCATCCTGTTTCTTTCATTCTAACACACAGAACATTCTGAGTTCTGCATCACACTGTCCAGAAGCATTACAGTCAGCTGCCAAACCAAAACTGCCTTTTATTCCAGCAATGTGACTAAAACATTCCTGCTGAGACCAAAACCAGCTCAGCTATGTTTTCTCTTAGCCAACTTCATGCACACTGTTTTTCTAATCAAAGGCTTCAGGCATTTTTATTCTATGTGGTAAAAGAAAAAAA